GAATGAGTAACTCGTAGGGCATGGGATATTATTGTGTAAATGATAATTTGATAGCAAACTGAAAAGATGGAACTAGATTGAAATTCAAACCATTTTTATAGAAAAAAATTACGGTTTGCGTCTTAACGAATTCAAATGCTTTCGAGAATTGAAGATTCAACTTTCAAGATTGAATGAGAAATCTTAGAAGCTCGGATTACGAAGAAGAAATGAATATTTAACGTCCCGTGTTGGTAAATAAACTACAGGAAGATTGAAATGTAAAAAATAATCAGGTGAGCAAATAATGTTATAAATTATACATTTTTCTTCAAAGGCTCCCTAGCATTGGATGCCTCAGGCCATTACCTAATGGCTTTACCCCATGGCCGGCTCTGGTGGTTAGAGTCGGCGTCTATCTTAAAATATTCATGACATAAAGAGATAGGTCGACCTTAGGAAAATAACATATACGAGTATGAGAATAATTTGACATCGCAATGTGTCGTGTGATTAGAAGTGTCGAGCCAATTAGGCAGCATAGCGTCTCTTCATTTTGTCGTTGGCGGCTAGACTTTGCATTGAAAAATGCAATTTTGGATTGGTTTAGAGAGAGAGACCATCAAAATTTCACCCTCTTTATTAATCGTTCTTATTAGGGATGGACATGGGTTGGATTGAATTGGGTTGGGTCGATTTTTTCCTCAACCCAACCCAACATTATCGGTTTGATCAAAATTTAACTCAATCCAACTCAATCAAATATCGATCGATTTGGGTTGGTCGGTTTGTGACAACTTGTCAACAAAAATTAAAGTCATTAAATTGTCTATTATACTAAATTCGAATAGACAAGATTAAATAATAAGTAAATAAATAAATAAATTTATCTATTATCATATTCAATTCTCATTAGCCGAGCCTACAAAAAACAAAATGCATTTAACATAACATGAAAAAGTTATACTACATTTCTTATTATTATTTTTTTTAAGTAGGTGGGTTGGGTTGCGTTTGGTGAGTTTATTCGATTTTCATGAGTTAACCCATAACCCGACCCGACCTGACCCGTCTACACAACCAACCCACACAACCCGTGTAAAAACAACAAAAAAACCAACACAAATCGATCGGGTTGGCCGATTTTGGCGGGTTCAGTCGGGTTTTGCCCACCCCTAGTTCTTATATTCCAAGAACCATTGCTTACTTTTCGACATTTCAACAGGATTGCCCAGCATATCGATCAAACAATTCTATTGATTCACTTTTACAAATCATGTATAAATTAGGTTGAGACCTCGGATAATATAAAATTGTAATTCAATTTTAATTTATCAAGTAACTACGAGCTAAATTGAATTGAGTTTAAATTAAGTTAAAATATCAATAAATTAAAGATCGTTGTTTCAAATTCAACTTGTTATATTTTCAGTCACTCGACTAAGAGCCAACAATTTACCTTTCAAAGACTGTTCACCATTCAAATTTGTATATTTTCAACTTATGAATGCTTGATTAAATTTTTTTTTTTTAGTGAATTTCAATGAAAATCGATAAAATATATGTTTTAAAAGTTGATAAAAGCGATAATCTATATATTTTATGATTAAAATTAATTGTTAATTTTAGTTTATCAATTTTTTAGTTAAACCAAACGGAGCTTAGCCTATACAAAGCCACCCATCATCTGAAAGTGACCCCACCTTAAACAAATCTCTCTCCATTTAACTCTATCTAACCCACAGGTAAAAAGCGAACCGTACTAAAATTCCACCTCAGCTCCACCCCCACCCACCCAAAAGTACTCGGAAATCGACGTCCCCTTCGGCCATGACCGCAATGAATCAGCAAATTTAAAGATAAAGGTAAACCAGATTTTCATTTCTAATCCATTTTTTTAATGGAAATGATCAGAATTTTTTCAGGTTAAAGTTGAGTGGGCCGCTCGTGAATCGGTTGATTTTACGTTACAATGTATGAAATTTCTCAGTAACCCACTTGAATTTAGAATAATTTTTGAGGTCGAAAAACTCTTAATTGAATTTTCAGCTGCGGCGATATGCGAAAGGTAAAAACCCTAATTGATTTTTCGTAATTTTTTAATCCTTTCATTTTCTTATTTTTATGTAATTTTTTTATGGTTCTTATTTTCTTTTTTGTTGAATGTGTTTTTTATTTTTTGGGGTTTTACGTTGAACTTTATTTTGTGTCGAATGGATGATAATTTTTGCGTGAGCTGACAGGGCTTGCTCTTTCTTTTGATTGGAGACTTAAAATCGAAGATTTCATTTAACTCATTTTACTTTGTGAAAAATCCACCATTTTTAATCCATTTTTAAAAATTTTGGTTGGTACATATATAGTTATTCATTTCATAATTTTGAGTTTTCCTTCTCTTCCTTTATAACACTATGATTTGTCTTTGGTTACCTTTTTGTATTGATGGGGTGTCACAACAACGAATGGGGTAAATATGGTTGATTTTACCATTGGGGATGCAACTAGTAAATGCATGGATGAGTTGATAAAGGACGCTATATAAATTAAAGGATTTACTTGGATGGAAAAAGAGTTTCAATGGTTGCTTTAGGCACAGAAAGCTTCTGTTTGGTATTTTAAGTTGCAGGATCTACTGGACAGGATTCCAAGTTCATTTTTCTTTGGCATTTTGTGAGCCACTTTTTTGGGGTTGCTATACGATTGCTAACAAATGGCACAATTGATGAACCGGTGAAAAATAATAAATAGGAGTGTGAAAACTTGTAACGTATCAAATTAGAAAGTGTAGTGTTATGTTGACGTGTTTATGCCAACACATCACCTTGCACGACCTGTTGCCAATTCAAACAGCTAATTAAATTGGCTATGTTACGAGTAATTAAATGGTTTAGTGATTCAACTGAAAACAGGGGGCCAAATGTAATTTATCCACGATTGAAGGTGCTAAATGTATTTTATTCTTTCAAATTAAGTTGGAACTTTGTTTTTTATATCTCACAAACATGTTAATGCTCATAGAATCTTAGCTTGGCTGGTCAAGAATCAAGATTTGATAATGTACTTTTCTATTTATAAATTTCGGTCAATCATGATGTCCAACAGAGCTAGATACATATTTAAAAATTGTGCTTAAGCGAATCTTATCTATGTATTGAATTTTTGACAGGTGCTTTTCTATTAGGTAGTGTCTAACAGACTCCTAAATTAATTTTAGTAAGATTAACCGTCAAAAGCTGCATGTAAATCAAATTAAACTTATTTTCTCTAGGATATGATTTTCCAATATTCCTTTCGGTATTTATATATTTACTTCTTTTTTGTCCCCATTTATCCATACTGTATAAATCCCTCTGATTCTACATGCACAAATGCTGTTTGGACCTGTTCAGGAGTCTTGTTTTCATGTTAAGGTTGGAATTTTGATATGCACTCCTCAAATTGATGTACAAAAATGTAATTTGTCCTGCTTCCTTACTTATGCTCAAAACCATTATTACTGTATAGCACTTACTGAGGATTTAGTGCTGGTTAAATGTGCTTGCTTGTCTCATATCAAACTTTATGTCTTTACCATTTATGTGCTTCATATATTTTTTTAGCTTTAATTTTTTACTTCTTTATTAGTTAATGCTGCTGTTTCCATTTTTACCACAGAATATTCTGAAGTGATTAAAGACAGATTGAACTCTATATTGACTATTCTTGGCTGTAGATTGTAAATAACTGGCTTCTTTTTGGGCATTTTTTGGCTCATGCACTGCAGATACTGACATGAATAGAGAGGAGTTGGGAAATATTATGACTGTAAGGACGAAACCAGCAGGTCTATTAATTGGAAAAAGCAATGGCCATTGTGACGATGAAGGAGAATCCAAGATGGAACCACACGTGGGGTTAGAGTTTGATTCGGCAGAAGAGGCCCAAGAGTTTTACAGTGACTATGCAACCCAAGTGGGGTTCAAAATTAGGATAGGTCAGCTGTATAGATCCAGAGTTGATGGTGCTGTTATTTCTCGGAGATTTGTATGTTCAAAGGAAGGATTTCAGACAAATGCAAGAACTGGCTGTCCTGCTTTCATAAGAGTGCAAAAAGTTGATTCTGGGAAGTGGGTTTTGGCCAATATAAAGAACGATCATAACCATGAACTTGAAGTCCCTGGAGAAATTTGTCCACCCCAGATTCAGAGAAAAAGTTTTCCAACTCCTAGGTCATCAGCTGGTGGGGCAAGTAGGACAGGTATCAGATCACATGAGGAGGATGGTCTATCTGGTGTTGTTGATATCAAACGTCTCAAAAAGGAAGACGTGGGTGGAATTGCAGTACCTATAGGTGAACCATACAAGGGTCTTGAATTTAATTCTGCTGATGAAGCATACAAATTCTACAACACATTTGCAGCCATTACAGGATTTAAAGTCAGGATAGGTCAATTATTCCGCTCCAAACATGATGGATCAATTACATCCCGAAGATTTGTGTGCTCCAAGGAAGGGCATCAACACCCTTCAAGAGTAGGTTGTGGAGCATACATGAGAATTCAAAGACAAGAATCAGGAAGGTGGGTTGTCGATCGTCTTCAAAAGGAACACAATCATGAATTTGACAGTCCCACGGATCCTAGTAGAAGAGTGACAGTTGCATCAAAGGGGTATAGAGAGGAAGGAAGCAGTGGATTGGAAAATTTGGATTTAGTTGAAACAAATGGAGGCCTCAGCCTTGTCAAACGAGTGCGAGAAAGTAATGTTGGTAGTGAGTGGTATAATGTGCTTCTTGATTATTTTCAATCTCGGCAAGCAGAGGATACAGAATTCTTTTATGCAGTAGAAATGCGAGATGGTAAAGGCATGAATCTTTTCTGGGCTGATGCACGTTCTAGATTTTCTTGCACTCAGTTTGGAGACGTGATTGTGTTGGATACAGCATACCGGAGAGGTAATTATTTTGTGCCATTTGCTTCTTTTATTGGGGTTAATCATCATAGGCAATCTGTACTTCTTGGCTGTGCTCTAATTGCGGATGAATCGGAAGAGTCATTCACTTGGATATTTCAGGCATGGCTTAGAGCAATGTCAGGGTGCCGCCCTGTGTCTATAATAGCTGATCAGGACAAGGCCATTCAAAATTCAATTGCACAAGTTTTTCCGGGGTCACATCATCGATTTTCTGCATGGCAAATTCTCACAAAGGAACAGGAGAACTTGGGCGCATTACTCTCCTTGGATGCCAAGTTCAAATATGAGTATGAAACTTGCATTTTTCAGAGCCAGACGGCTAGTGAATTTGATTTTGCATGGAATATGCTTATGAACAAATATAACTTGAGAGAGAATGCTTGGTTGAAGGAGATGTACAGAATGCGTAAAAGTTGGGTTCCCCTGCACATAAAGGGCGCATTCTTTGCTGGCATTCCTGTGGATGGAAGCTTGAAATCATATTTCAGTCCGCTATTGACAGCCCAAACACCTCTCGATGAATTTGTTGTAAGATATGAGAAAGCTCTTGAACAACGTCGTGAAGAGGAAAGGAAGGAGGACTTTAACTCGTTTAATATACAAGCAGTTTTGCATACAAAAGACCCCATAGAAGAACAGTGTAGAAGGCTTTACACCATCACAATGTTCAAAGTATTTCAGAAAGAGCTTTTAGAATGCTATAGCTATGTTGGAATAAAAATAAATGTCGAAGGAGCCATCAGTAGATATCTGGTACAGAAGTGCGGAAATGGAGATGAGAGGAATACCGTTGCCTTTAACGCATCCAATCTCAATATCAGTTGTAGCTGTAAAATGTTTGAGTTTGAAGGTGTTCTTTGCAGGCACGCTTTGAAGGTATTTCAAATAATGAACATAAGGGAACTTCCATCTCGCTATATCTTGCATCGATGGACAAAAAATGCGAAATATGGTATACTCCGAGATGCTGATTCAGCAGGTGGTTCTCAAGATTTCAAGCCCCTGATGTTTTGGAGTTTACGAGAAGAAGCCCGTAATTTTATTGAGGCAGGAGCAGCTTCTTTGGAAAGATACAAACTCGCTTTCGAGATCATGCAGGAGGGTAGAAGAAGTCTCTGCTGGCAAAACTAGTAAATTTCTCAGCTGCGGGTCAGAGATATTCTCTTCCTTCTATATTTTATCTTGATTATCTAATCTGAACTCTGCAATCCATCCCTTGGCTAGTTTAAGTGGGTTTTCAGCCATGTAACTAAATAGAACCTCTTTTTTTTATGAAGAACTTATTAGATCTGTACAATGGCTCCATGTGTAGTTTTACCTGTTTCATATCTCTATCAAGCAGAATGAAGAAGTGAATTTTGTTCCCTAATGTAATTGTCCACCTGCATTTGCGTGTCTTATGCTTAGAGTAGCTTTATTGATTTGGCATTCATATACGTGTCTCCCCCCCCTCCCCCCCCCCTGTCATTTCTTTATACGTGCTATGTACAACTTTGTTTGACAGTTTAGAGGAGATCGTAGGAGTTCAATCTGATTTTGTTGATAAATTTGAATAGTAAAGAACATAAACAAGAAATCCTTGAAATTGTTGATATTATTGCCTATTTGGTAGAAACATCATTGATGTAGATTGACCGAGGTCCCTTTGCACTATTGGTCCCCAACCTATTGTCTCAATTGCAAGTTGGTCCACAATGCTTAAAAAGGAGCCAGCTAATTTCTCACCTTTCAAAATAGTTGCACAATTTGTCTTCGAAATGTCTAAAAATATTGTCCCAATCTTCGTTATATTCTCACACAACCGTCATGGAAGCATTTCCGACTTCCACGTTGAGAATCAAATCTAACTTCACAAAATTAGACGTCCAAGTATTAGGAGATGATTTAACAATGATTTGGACTAATTTCATCATTGTGACTAGGTATTAACAGAGTAAGTTGGGACCAATGGTGCATTCCCCCCGAAGTGATAACTTTTCATCAAGATCGGGTTTTTCTCCGAATCCATCGATTGTTCTACTTCACTTCAAATATAGTTTTAGCAATTCATCGTTTTGATATTCTTGTGTTTTCCCCTCGTTTTATCTTATTTTTGGGTAGGGTTGCTTACTGGCATGGGTTTGTACAGTTGATGATTAGTTGGACTTTATTGGCTAATGAAAGAAGAAAGTAATTGTTAGTGGCTTTCGCTAGATGGGATGACAATACAACTGAGACATATAATTTTCTTTTATATAAAGAAATACAAAGTAGTGGCAAGTTTTATCTTATTTTTGTTTGGCTTCGAACTCTTCTCCATTGTCTGATATTGTGGCTTAAGTAGTGGCACGAGTCATTTTATTCTATGTACCCCGAGCTTGCTTCGGATTTTTTTTCTTTTGGGCCCTATTTTTTGTACTTGAGTTGACTTGTAATCCTCTTTTCATGTTACCAATTGTTCGTGGTGATTTAAGTTAATGCAATTGCGTTTTTCAAAAAAATGGCAAATTTATTTGTCGCTTCTGAATTCACAACTTCACAATTACATGTTCGCGACATTGTCTCCCTATTACCACCCCAAATTTTTAGTTTCTCCTCACTTCCAATTTCAGAGGAAAAGCTATTTCACGTTCATAGAATTCTTTATGGGATATTAAAGAAAAGAAGTTGAAAATTTTGGCATGTTAATTTTCAAAAAAAAAAAAAATGGAGGAACAAATTGAAAAGGCAGGGAAATGAAGGAAGAGGAACCGATAACCGAGCATCAGATGAGAACTTTACCGAGTATGAAGCCAGAATAGAAGCAGTAAAAGCATCAAACAATAAGGTATTTGGACAAAGTGGTAGCACCTATGAGACCAACAAGGCAAGAGAAAGAAATAATATTTGCCATGGCCATAGATGGACCGGCCGACAAGAAAATTTGGTGAGCATTGCAATCTCCTCGAAAACCTCTAACAATCATCGCCTGCAATGCACAAAAATGAGAGGCTTATGATGGAAAATACATATTTAATCGAGCATATTTGGTTAAGCTTATAAGTAAAACACAGTGAGGTAGGAAGCAGTGAAGTGTTCTATTTGTTAAGAGAAACTTGAGAAAGGAGATGAAGAAATAAATAAGAGAAGCAGAGGGAAAATTATGTACCTGAGATATCTGCTCTGCGTGGTTATAGATATTCTTGAAGATCCCACGGATGTATGTGAAGAAAACTGCAAGAAAATAGAACCGCGTTTTACAATGGAGAGATAACACTTCCTTTATAGGATGAGATAATATAATAGCATTATGTTAGTACAAATAAGAATACGGGAATGGTACTCAATTTCCTTATTATCCCCATTCAAAAGTATTGCATAAGACTAAGGAGTCGAAGGTTAAATGACAATGAACATGTAGCAATATTTCTGTAGAAGCACATCAACATCATCACAGAGCAGGGAAAAAGGTTCGCAGTAGAATTTTACGTCGTAAAATACCATCAATTGTTCCCATTTTATTCGAGGAGATACAACCCCAAGGGCCACATTGCGGACCTGCAAAAGTATACAATAGTTTCAGTATTCTTCCAAAAAATTATTTATTTCTACATGAAGCTGAGCAGATAACCTTTAGAAGTGCAAGAACTGAATCGAACAATCTCACCTCGTCAAACACCAGATTGATGAATCTTAATGAAAGCAAGAGAGTAAAGATGACTTCAGATACTGGGAGAATGAACCACTGAAAAGCAAATGCAAGCTGCTCTGGTGTTGTCGTTGTCAAGCAAAGGCTCGCACTCTGAAAGATCTTCAAGAAAATAAAGATGCCTAATTATCAGAAATATTGTCCACAAAATTGAAAGAAGGCAAAACAATTCAAGTCCTAATAGAGTAAAGCAGAATAAGAGGGAAATGCTAGTAGCATCTCAAATGTACGAGTCTTGGTTCATTTTATGCTTTTCCCCTTGACTTAAAAAATTAGTATATGCACAAATTCCAAAAACTACCACCAGTTATACTTCAATATCTTGGATCAATTTAAGATTCCAAACACTAAATCAAATGATTATTTCCACCAATTGCTATGTCAGGGCCTTTTACTGGCACTAACCTTAGTTGATATCTCCATACCTATGAAAATTAAAGAAATCACGTGTTTGAATATTTGCTCTGCAATATCAGAACTGAACCAAAACCTAAACTTTGTCTGCTCGACAATCCTGCATTTGCAAAGTTTATGGTCAACAATGCATTGGATATATGGAAGGCGATATAAAGTATCAGTAACAGTATCTTTCAACAGGCAAGGGTATAAAAAACTGCTACAAAAAACCTGATGAGACTGGGGATTCTAAGATTTGATTTAAGGAACAAAGTTAACTGTATACATTCCATCGTGTGCAAGAAGTTTGCCAATTACATCCCATATTTACACATAATTTATGAGTTGTGTGGGCTGTGATGCCATAGTCTAGTCCACTTAAAGGCAATGATGATTGGCCTTCGGCGCATTCCAATATAACTGTTTCATCTGAAGTTGGCCCAGTGAAA